AAAAATTATTATTTAAAAAGAAACTTTTATTTATTGTACCTTGTGTATCAGGGTTTATCAAATAATTAATAATTATTTTATTAATCTCGATTTTATAAGAGTTAATTATTTATTAAAGTTAATGTGTCAAAATTATTTTGAATAGATAATTAGAAATGAAATGTTATTCGTTTATAAAGGTATCTAGTTTTTTTAGAAATAAATTTAATTTACAAGTTTTTAATTTTTTGTTTATTTATTAAAATAAAAAAGTTATTAATTTGAAAATTTTAAGGAATAAGCTTTAAAATAAATTATTAAAAATTAGTAATTTTAATATAAAATGTATGAATAGAATTTTCAATCATTTATAAATTTGTTATAAATTATTTTATAATTTTTATTATTTACTATTATTTTATTATTACTATTATTTATTTATTTATTAATGATAAAATTAGTGTATTTTATATTGTATATATAATTTTATTTGACCAGTTCATATAAAAAACTCGGCAAATTTATATACTCGCCTGTTTAACAAAAACATGTCTTTTTGAGTTATTTTTAAAGTCTGCCCACTAATAATTTTGAATAGCCGCAGTATTTTAACTGTGCAAAGGTAGCAAATCATTAGTCTTTTAATTGAAGGCTGGTATGAATGGTTGGACGAAGTATAATCTGTTTCATTTAAATTCATTGTAGAATTTTATATTTTAGTTAAAAAGCTAAAATTTAATTAAAAGACGAGAATACCCTATAACTCTTTTATAAAATATTTTTAAAATTTTATTATTTAAATAGTTATAGTTTATTATTAATTATTTTTTAATTAATATAAATAAAATAAAAAAAATTTTATTAAAAAAGATAGTTTTTATTTTACTTTTATAAATATAAATAAATATGAAACGGGGTCTGTTTATTTGTAGGGAGGAAATACTAATTGATTTTATTTAAATAAAAATTAATTTTTATACAATATTACTAAAGTTTTATTATTTATGTAATAATATGTTTAATAATATAATTTATTATTAATTATTTTATAAATATATATGAATAAATAAAAAAAATTTATTAAAAAAGATAGTTTTTATCATACTTTTATAAATATAAATAAATATGATAGGGGGTCTGTTTATTTGTAGGGTGGAAATACTAATTGATTTTATTAAAAAAAAAAATTATTTTTATACAATATTATTAAAGTTTTATTATTTATATAATTATATATTTAATAATATAATTTATTATTAATTATTTTATAAATATATATGAATAAATAAAATATTTTATTAAAAAAGAATTTTTTGTTTATTTATTAAAATAAAATAACAAATTTCGCGTGATCTCGCATTGCGTACGGGAAAGAAACTACTTAAATATATT